GTACACCAGGAGCCATCTGGTTTTTTTACTGGCCACACGGGGGAATTGAAAGGACTATGGGTGGGCTTTATAATACCCACCTTTTCCAGCTCCTGGAGAGTCTCTCCAATCTCTTTATGCCTCCAGGCAGTTTGTATTTTTTGGTATTAGTCACTCGCTGAGGCACAGGCAAAGCTATGGACAGGTGCCTAGCATGTCCCCTCAGAACTGCCTTCACCACACGTACTCTCAGTCTGACCTCACCTGCAGTGGTCTGCAACCATAGACCCTGCAGGATATCAATACCCAAAATATACTCTCATTGTATACTCTTTTGGGGGGAAATGCCCTATTCCTAAAGGGATTTGGGCTTTTTCCACTCTGATAGCCTTACCCCCATATCCATATGGGGTCCCAGGGAACCACTCAGGGTTACCATGAATCAGTGAACATTCAGCCCCTGTGTCCACCAGAGCCAAGACATGTTGTATGTTCACTGGGGACCAATGGATAGCTATTTCAACATGTGGCATCTGGTCCCCCCCTGGTCCTCAAGACAGATACTTAACTTTCCCCTCAGTCAAACCATGTTCCCCAATCATTTTCCTGTGTGGGCTCAAGTGAGGTTGGCTCATTCTCCAGCAGGCAGTCTTGCAAACACACAGACCAGACTTGTGGCTCTGTCTCTGACCTCTGCCTCATTGTTCTTAATGGCTGGAACTGCTGCTCTGGTTTCAGCTGTTGCCATAGCTCTAGTAAGATCCTATTAGACTTCCCATCTAATTTCCTTCCATCTGCTCCTGCCAGTATTAAATCAACCCACATCCAGGTCCTTGTAACCTTCATGGGGCCCTGTATATTCTTCTTGTGAGTAGCAAGTCTTATCTCTTTCCAGATTCTCATTGCTTCAGCCTCTCCTAAGTCTGCTACTGTACGTGTCACCTCACTTATGGGATGCTCCAAGTGAGGGGAAAGAATGGCCACTAGAGACCCAAAGAGGGATGTAGGAGCCATTTGAAGCACAATATTTCTCATCCCAGTAGTGAAAATCTCTTTATCTGGGCCATAATTGTCTGGACTATAGATGGCATTTCTTATGCCTAGCTCTCGTAGCACCTGTTGGAGCTCAGCATATGTCTGCCATCTAACAGGAGAGGATGGTTAGATCACCCTGATTGGGCCACACAGCACAAAGTGCAGCCATAAGCCAATCGAGGAGGGAGTGACTCCGTGGATTCTGATGTGCATTTTGTAATCGCTGCCTCAGGCAGGCTGCACTGTCAGGGAAGCCAGCTTTCCCATCTCTGATTCCAAAAGAACAAGTGCATCCATCCCTAAGTCCCAACAGACACAGGAGCCAAGCTGATATTGACTCTTAGGGCTTCTGCCTAAACCGGGAGCCCAGATCCACCAGCTCAGCCTGAGTATAGAGGCAGACCATAGAGTACTCCATGACCTGGGGAGGGGGTTGCTCCTCTCCTTGGGGAACTGTCAGCTGCTGGGTCTTTATTTTCTTTACAACCACTGGGCAGGCTTTCAATACAGGAGGGGCCAGTGACTTCAGCACCACCCTTTTGTCCTTCTCCAGCAACTCCAATTCTGGGACTGATGGCACCTTTCTCTCCCCTCCCCCAAGTGCCTCCTCTGCTGCAATCTTTACCTTTTCTACTGTGCCTCGCAACAATGCTACCTCAGTCTTTAGCAGCTCTCTTACCTTCACCTCAATGCTTCACAGCTGACGGTCTCGTGCCACCTCTGCCTGTGCTTCCCTCAGGAGTTTGTCTTTTTCCTTGATGGCCTCTTCCTCCTTCAGAACACATGGCAGCACTGCCGTCTCATCTCCAATGGCACCTTGCTGCAGGCACTCTCGTGTGCTGCCTCCTCTCATATCAATGCCACCTCTTTCTTCAGGGAATCCACAGAAGTTTGTAGCTGGCGTTTTTGTGCCCATTTCTTGGGTCTCTTCTGTAGACCTTTTTAACACTGTGAGAAGCAGCCAACCCACAGTCCCCGCTGCCTCACAGGCACTCTGTTTCTCAAAGGATCTGCTTTGCATTTTGTAATACCAAGGGCCACCCCTACTGCCTCAGGTATCACCTCCACTTGCCTCCAGTCCTGGGGTGGAGCCCAGTCCTCTAGGACGCAAGCCACCTCAGATCACATGCCCTTTGGGGGACAATCCACTGTTTCCCCATTCACGGGGACAGCCCCCTGAAACACCCCTTCCATCAGGGTAGCCTGTCTTTTTCCTTGGTCAACAATGAACCCTGCCGACTTTTGTCAATTGTCTTGCTAATGGTGTCAGCCCCAGGCAAGTTCTCTATGGATTCAATGTGACCAAAAAATTGACAGCAAAACGTTCTTCGGGGTGAAAGAGTTTATTATCCAGCTTGTTCTCCTGGCAGCAGGTCGAGTGCTAGTGTCTCTGCCTCCACGCAGTGCACTGGGCCGAGCTCTCTGTATAGCGCAATAATAGCTTATTGCCTAAAGGTGTGGAAGCGGTAGCCTAGCAACAGGCCAGTTACATCATCAGGTGGTTTAAGTTCAGTAAGGATCCTGGCCATAGGAATCCCAACTTCTCCACACAAACTATAATTTTTGTTTTGCCAATTTACTTTATGCTAACTTTTAAAATTATAAATCTCATCAAGAAACATTTCAATGGCTCATTGATGATCATATGATAGAGCACCTAGTCATTCACATATAACAGAAGACTCTTCCCAATTTGGCAATTGTTAAGTAAGTGTAAAGAAATACATTAAATTCAGTGTAAGAATAATATATAAAAATGAAATTCTGTACATGAGATTCTGTACAGTATTAGAGGTGGATTCCAAATTCAGTTTTGAGTTTTCCAAAGGCCAAAACAAAGAAAATAGAATGACTCACATAAATCCCATTGTCCATTATTCAAAAACAAATTATTTAGAGGTGCTGAGATGAAATATCATTCTCTGCCATTCATGGTCTTCTAACAGTATTAAGTGATTGCTTCCCAATCTCACATACTTAAAACAGACAAAAAATTAAAATACTATTTTTCCAGAGCTCTGTGCCCTGAAATGAGTACCACCTTATCCCACATACTACACATGATAAAGGTATATTACTTTAATATATATATATTTAATATATATAGTTACAGTCTGCTATTTACAAGGAGAGTTCACGTGACTGTATCTCATATGGTTATGTGAACAGAACATAGTAAACACTATGCATGGTGCTGATGACGTTGATAATTAACAAAAGGCAAGGTCAAAATGCACTTGACTTATATGCACAGTATTATCTGTTATTTTCCATCTTTTCTCATGCAATATTTATAACAATCCCATAAATAAAGTGTTAAGCTCTTGAATCTCAGTTTCCTTAGGAAAAAAAACGAGGTTAAATTACTTGCCTAGGGTCATGTAGGTAGTAGAAAGCAAAGCTGGGGCTTCAGCTGTTGTGTATTTTACATAGACCCTGTTCCCTTTTACTCTCCAGCAGCTGATAGTCGGCTCATGGTCAGGCTAGAAAGGAGATGTAAATCTTTGAAGATATAATCATACCTTACTTCAAATACCTTATACCTATTCATCCACTGTAGGTAGATAAGGCAGGAAATGTAAGTTTCTTGTCTTTGGGTCATAGTTACACTTTTTTTGAACTGTCCCATCCATCAAAACTAGGGAGATGCATGGTTCCTCTCTGAGTGAAGAATGAATTAATTCATTAAACATAAAATAGTAAAAGAAAAAGGATATACCAGGTGAGACATTTAAGGCCATTGGCTTGATTTTTTGGGGAAGTGAGGTGATGTTCCATTACTGAGGTGGTTGGAATTCCACAGGATAATATTCATCTATCCATAGTTAATCGCATTGGAACACTGGAGCCTAGCCATGGTAGTTACCTGAATTCAAATCTTTAGCATTGTAGCATTGCCAGTGGGGTTAACCAACTACAAATTTATAACATGGCCTCAATTATTGGTGTGTGCTTTAGACATACTTTTTATAGTTAATGAAAAAATGAGTGGAGATTTTAGAAGTCTGAATTTATTCAGTTGTCAAAAGGAGAGTTTGATATATCAAATACAAGTCTCTTTCTTCATATTAAAAAGCCAAACACTTGTCCACTTTTGGCTTTCTTATAAGTATTCAGTGCCACAGAAACACAGGTAAATAATTGGCCATCTCCAGTGCATTCTGGATAATTTACAAGAGATCAAAAGATTATTACATGGGACAGTCAGAGTCAAACTGTATTGTATTTATTACAAATGAAGAATCATCACATGGCCAAAGTCAGCAGTGTATTAATGGACCAGATTTCTGTGTGTGTGTGTGTGTGTGTAACTTTTTAAATTTAAGGACTTAAGGCTTAAGGATTATGTATTAAGTTCTCTGCTATTAGAATTGACCTGGAAAGATTAGAAGATTATTATCTGTTTACACTGATGAAAATATTTATGAAAATGACAATATTAAAATGACTCGGACTTATCCAAAAAGATCCCAAGTTTAATTTCTAATAGAAAAAATAAAAGTTATAAAAGATATGACTCCCCATCTTTAAGATTTGGGTCTGGCCTTTTGATGGGTTTTTGATGTTCATCTTTCAATATGTAGCCAGTCAAACACATAACAGAACAAAAATTGGTTGTGTTCTACCCAGGATAAACAAAGAGATAAATCTTTGTTGCACACAGCATTTATTTTTCCTTTGTGTACTGGACCTTATTGATAAAATGAAGCTTTCTTCATCAAGGAAACCTCTTCCAATTTATTCAGAGACGGTCTTTATCAAGCTAAGCCCCAGTAAATGTTGTTTGGAAATAGTAACATACCTTTTTTCAACAGTCAAACACTTGCTATTTTTCCTTCGTGAACGGTCAGATCCCATAATCACCATGTTAATAAACACCCTAGTTAATGGAAGTTGAAACACACACATGCTTTTAAGAAGAAAGTTGAGTTGCAACGGTAAAATGAAATACCCTCAATGCTGATGTTATTTTTTCCTTCCCATAGGGAACCACAGTCAGATATCACGAGTACCTGTTGCTATTAAAGTGCTGGATGTCAATGACAACGCCCCTGAATTCGCATCCGAGTATGAGGCATTTTTATGTGAAAATGGAAAACCTGGCCAAGTAAATATCTCCATGTTGTTAATGCTGAATATGTTTGTATACAACTGTCTCCTTTTTTGATTAACCTGCATTATAGTGTGCATTTGCATCATTTATGATCTGCAAAATAACAGGCAAGACACATCCAAATGGGAACAGAGAGGGAGTATTTTTCTCTCGGAGATGCTAATTTTCTTCCTACTTGTGACCAAATTGGCTCCTGCTGTGGGACAACCTGCTGTGCCGAGTACCCAGAGCCAAATAACTGTCTTAAAATATCTCAGGATATGGACGATTATCAGGGGAGGTCTTAGAGTGATAGGGCCAAAATGTTACCCTTCAAATGTCAGGAAGCAAGAGAAAAGCTCAAGCGGGGACCAGGTGTGTTTCATAGCAAACATAGAAATAACCCATAATAGGGAAGCTGAAAAACCAGTAGCAGGAAGTGAATTTTGAAACCTGTAAAAATCTAGATATATTTAGATAAACATAAGATGAACAACATGTTTTAGACAGGCTAGTGAAGCATCTTATAATTGTGTATTGATGGGACATTTTTACTTTTACTCGTCTCATGTAGCGTAGATAGAGAAAAACAAAGAGAGAGAGGGAGATGGAGGAAGGAATAAAGGAAGGATGGAGATGGAAGAACAGAAGGAGGGGAGATGAGGGAGGGAGGAAGAAAGCTAAGAAGGAACAAAAACAACAACAAAACCTGCTATGCTCTGAATGTCAAAATGGAAATAGTCTATGTAAAGTTCTCAGAAACACAAATGTAATAGATTTATTTTAACAAGGTGCCAAAGTACTGTATGTTTAAGAAATTTATCGTTTTTCAACTTCCTAATTTATTTCTGGATGGTGACATTTTAATTTAAATAAACAGCAGCTGACAGCATGACACTGGAGTTGTTAATCTAACTATTCTTGTGCCTCCTGTGGGTGTTAGGAATTAAACTTACTATTTGCTGAGCAGCTTACCTGACAAAAGTCAGAGGAGTTTTCCCACCTAAAGAAAGGAATAGCACTGTAGCTCTATACTTTTGTATTTAATATTACAAAAGATCAATGTGATACCCACCTATGAAACAGTGGACATTTTCCCTTAGACTATTTTCATATATCTGAAGGATTAGCATTGGTTCCTTCTACCGAAATAAGACACATACACATGCATGTGCACGCACACACACACACACACACACACACACACATACACAAAGCTAAAATTTTAATAACACTGATTAAAACACTTAGACATCATAAATGTTAGTATAATCAAAATATTCACCTTTAGTAGCAATATGCTCTTTCTTAAATAATATTCTAACATTAGTTTAAGTGCTTCTTAATTTCATCATGTGGAATTGCCCTCTGCTATATCTTTTGAGCATTTCCATTTGTGATCCTTTGAGCACGGAGTGTGTATATATGTATGTATATATATATTTGGCAGTAAATATCATTTAGCTAAGTTGTTGGTGGATTGAGTTGGCAGAGAGTCTGATCAAAATATATGCAGGTCAGTTTCAAGGATATGGCTGTATGGGGCAGATCATTGTTGGGGTAATATAGCCAATCAGACTTATAAGCCAACTGTTTTTGATCATGAATAATCTGTCAAATGCTTTAGAATTTAAATAAAACTCCATTGTTCATGCAAAACTCATCACATGAGTTCAGAGAGTCAATGGCATTGATATTTCAAAAATCCCACATTGGCTTCACTTGTGATACTGACATGCATGCCTTTGGACCTCTAGGAATCTGGAGGTTTACCCTGTGGATTTTGACTGTTTCCAAGGTTTTAATGATTCCTCAGCAGTTCATATCAGAAAAAAAATGCATTGTTTCATCACCGTTTCTTTGCAAGATCAAAATAAAAGAAAAGTTGATTCTTTGTTCTATGACTTTTGCAAATCAAAGTGAATGACTCATTCTGTGAAGAAGTGTTTATGTTGTGTGTGTGTCCACTGCACTATCTTTCCTCAAATGAATCTGTTTAGGCCTGTTTATTAGAGTTCATATTTACACAAAGAGATGAGATCTTTGTTCAGTATAATTTTTGGACATAGACTGGTTCATATACGTGTAGTTGTTCAAACTCTTGAATTCCTTGAATCCTCTGTGCTAGTCAGAATTCATGTTTGATTCATTACGTTATTCCTAGGTCACTTTTAATGACTCAAGTATCTCATTTTTATATTTAACATTATCCAAAATTCATATTTGTTACCCACACTAGTGTTCATTTAGATTAAGTTCAACATAGATGCACTTTTCATCATCTCTCATAATACCACGCAAACCAGTGACTCACTTTGAAATTAAAATGTTCATTATTAGGTGATCACACACTCATGAAAAACAGCTGTTGAAAACTGAATTATCGTTAAATTCAGTCATTTCAGTCATTTCAATAATTAATGTCTGCTTTAACACAGTCTCAGAGAAAAGAGTATGGGTGACTTTGAAATGTCTGGTTTGCCTGGAAGGTATGGATTTGAAGCTAAATTTGAAGGGAATCAGCTTCTTGGGAGATGGTGATCCTTAGCAGTAATCAAGGATGAGGCATTAAAAAAAAACAACCATCTGTAAAAGTCTTCTGTATCGAGAGAGCCTTTAAAAATATGTTTTTAAAACATCTCACCAAATGAAAACTGATATGAACATGAACATAGAGAATTCTGCTGTGCTTGACTCTTTTCCTCTAAATTGGACTAATTTAAGCAAAGAATTTTAAAAAAGTAAGAAAAAAAGGAAGAATGAGGGAGGGAGGCCATCTTCTTCATTTCTAGGCATAGATCTCCAGTTTGAGGTATCTGAGCTAAAATTGCCATAGGTTCACTTTGAAAGTAGAATTGGAAATCATACCTGCTTCTAACCACCTTCTCATGGTTCTGACGTGAAAGATGACATTTTTTGAACTTCTTTCCTTAAGAGACTGACAACCACCTATGACAGAAATAGTTCACAGTCTCTTTTATACAAAATCAACACGAATCCCTTTTGACTAGAATCATTTAAAATAATCCCTCCATTACATTATTAAATGTTAATTTGGTGTTTTCTGTTGCTAGTTACTTCCATTTTTATCAATTTTCCCCCAGTAGTTAAAGGTGATTTATCTTAAGTCAAAAGTTGTAAGATGCTATGTATATCTTTAGTGTCCAATTCAATGATGGTATGATAGAGTTGTCTACAGATTACTTGACCATCAGTACAACAGGATGTATAAAAAATTCTTTTCACTTATTCCTCTCTAATGGCCAAGGCAGAAATGAGGATATGGCTTAAGGATTTCCTAATTAGAAAGCAAAATATATGACGGACAGTTCATGTGTCTAATAGGATGGTAGGCTTAAGTTAGTCAGTAAATACTTATTCAACACAAACTCCCTGCCAGGACTTGATTAGGTACTGGGGATCTAGTGGCAAATGACATCCTAAACAGTAGTCTTTTTTCTGTCAGTCAAGTATGTAATAAAATTAGAAGTGATAGAAGTGCAAGAAAACACCTCAAATCCTCCGGGCAGGAAGGAGACTGAAGAGATGGGGGGATGGAGCTCTCTTCATGAAAAGGCTTCTTAATATAGGACATGTCTCACCAGAGACAGGAAACCTCTATCCTTCGTTGAATCAGAGGCAGCTGGGGCTAAACCAGGTTTTTTCTAAAGAGAATGGTAATCTGGCTGGACAGGTAGAGGAACAGATAACACATGGAGAAATGAATGTCTTCCTTCATTACGCTTGGAAACAGCACGTTCAAACCAAAGATGAAAAGTATAGAGAACCTCAGTGATCATGCTGGCCAGAGTGCCTTCCCACAACTTTGGTCTACAACTTGTTCCCTTACTAGGGTCTCTCTAGGCTTTTATTTTAGATGCTAACCTCTTGCTCACCATACCTGCAGAAGTAGGGTGATCTGCTCTGGGTGCTTGGTTAATACAGGGGTGGAACTGAAAACATTGTATTTCTAGGTGTGAGTCAAGGTCTCTTGTTTAGTCTCAGAGAATATTTATTGTTTGAGAATTAGTTGACAGATTACTTCAGCTTTTTCCTTCAGGAAGGAACGTCCCCCTGTAACTATAAATTAATCAAATGGAGTATTTATAGTTCAAACTTCATCACCATCTTTAGAAGTTGAGATGTACTTTTTGGCATCAAGTTAATTATGTTTGGCTAACCTCTTTTAATCCCTTCTTTCTCTGACTGATAATGCAGCAATATAAAGGTTGCTTATTCTGGGAATATCACAGGTCCCCCCAAAGAATAATAATCTATGTTTCTAGATATGTATCTAGCTAATGCTTGGCATGTAATGAAGATTCATAGTATTTTAAACTCCTTGTTCTAATTCAACTCATTCAGCAGGAACAAACATCTCAATAATCAGTTCCTCAGAGCACCTTGGTAGCACGTGCTTCACCCCCAGACACACAGTGCACCAGCTGACCTCTTCAAATGAAAAATCATCTACTAATCGAACAATATTTACTGTGCATCTACAAGATGCTAAGTACTATGATATGACCTGGGGAAATGTAAAAAGGATAAAAAGTGTTCTTTCTCATGGAACTTAATGAGGAAGATGGATTAATTCTAAAAAATAGAAGGAATAAACAATACACATTTTTTGAAAATTGGGTTGAAAGAAACATTGATGTAATCACCCAGCAGGGGACAAAGGAAAAGCAAAGATCTATTTTATATAGCATTGTCAGAGACAGCTACTTTTTAAATGGGCATGATTTAAGCTGAAAATGAAAAAAGAAAAGAAAAATGAGACAGGGCAAGGTACACAAGAAGAGAAAGCAAGAGCCTTCTAGCTAGGAGGATAAGCTTGTGCAAAGGCCCTGAGGAGAAAGACCTTGGTAGTTTGAAGAACTGAAGACATCTGAGGTTGAGCATAGTCAGTGGAATAAGCAGGTGTAATAATAAGGATGTTATAAGAATAAGATGAGATGAAAAGAGTTTATGTTTGAAAAAATCTGCACACCACACACACACACACACACACA